CGGCGCGGGGGCCGCTGCGGGGGACCCTTGGGCCGGCGGCCAGCGGCTCACGAAGGCGGGCACGTTGATCGGGACTCCTGGGCTCGGCCACGCGTCACCGCCGAGGTCCTCCGGCCGCCACTTTCTCCCGCCCCGCCCCAGAGCTCTCTCGCTCGGCCCGGAACCCGCTCCCGCCACCTCCGAGCTCCACCAGCAAGCTGCGAGCGCGCGTACCTGCCCCGCGACTACTGACACTTGACGCCCGCCTCTATTTCACCCAACTCCGGGGGAGGCAGGACCAGCTCACGCGACTGGCAGCATCGTGGCCAATAGTAAGGCCCCAGAGCCAGCATCTAGCCAATGGGAACCAAGTCCCACGAGGTCCCGCCTCCGACGGGCCGACCGCACCCCTCGCGGGCCAGGAGCTTCGCGCGCAGGGCTGCGGCGCAGTTTGTACACAACTTCTCTGACAGATTGGGCCGGAGGAGCACAGGGCGGAGGGAAAGAGAGGAGCGGGCGGAATCTAGGAAGAGGGGAAATCAGGGTGGAGACGTGGAGGGAGATCTCTCCGAACTGTTCTCTGCCAGGATTAGGGCGAAAAAAAGTATTGCACGTCTTAGGTGTTGTGCAAGGACCTGAAACTCGAAAGCTGAAGACCGAAGGCAGTTAGGTGGGGGAGCTGAGGTTTCCAGTCCTGTCCGATGAATGTGTCTTTTTAAGTATACAAACTGAAGTTTAGAGGAAAACAAGAGGCACTATGGTAACAAATGTAAAACAGGTCTCATTTCTGTGTTTTCAGAAGTGGATCTATCTATCCTTACCAGATCCCTTATGCCCTGAATAAAAACTGTAATGTCAAGTATTTTCTCAAATCCTTGCATACCAACCTCGGCATATTTCCCCCTACGGTATTTAAGCAGCTACAAGTTTCCACAGACATGTCTACCTTCCGTCGCCGTACGTGCCGAAGAGGTGGGGTTGGCCTTATGAATTATGAAGTTTTTAATATTTAAACCATGTTGATTCTAGCCGGAGCACGGAATCTAATTTGAGAACTAACAGCCAGCTCAACTGGGTATTTAAATAGACATTACATCTTTGGCTTATTTTTGCTAGCACTGTAGTCTCCAGAAGGGGAAAGCGGAGTTTAATATTTTCAGATAAGTATAGGCCATCTACCTAATACAGTGGTACCTTTTCCTACGAAACGGGAACTAAAGAAGCCACAAACATTCACAGATAGTCAAGGGTTCTGAAAACTGGAAATCCAAACCTGTAGGACCATAACAGCCAAATACATTACTACCCAGTGGTTAGGTGGTTTTTAATGAAGGGTAAGTGTTTATTTTTTAAATTTTTTAAATTTTTGCCAGCAATCACCAAAGGAAACTACTTTCTTTAATCCTTAATGGATGGTCCATGGCTTTATGTGACTGATTACGAAGCTGGAACAATAAACTTTGACAAAAAATGTTGTACCATGACTACATATGTACATACATTGACAGTATATTATACCAGCACACCTATGAGAACACCCTGGCCACTTCACAGGGCAGAACCGCTTAACAGGCTCTTAGGGAAGAAACGCACCTCAAAGAGTGTACCGGGGTGTGCGTCTCCTTTCCAAATCCAGGTGAATGAAGAGGCACAGAATGCATCACCCGCTTGCTTTCTTTTCAGCAAAGATAAAATCATCCTGTGAACTCGATTTCTCTTCTCACTTTTCCTTCCTGTGAGTAATGATTCATTTTTATAGTTGTGGTTGTCGCGTTCAGAGGACGGGTGATGTGTCTGCTTTCACGACACCAGAGTGCTTTTTAATAAGTGTCCTTGCACCTGTGTCTCTAAGTGACCAGTCTCATGTGGTCAGCCTTCATCTTCAAAAATCCGGCCTCATTTTCTCTGTTATTAAACCCAATCATGCGATCAAATAGCTCAGAGGCAGGTCAGAGAATTGGTGTTGGATTTAACTTTTTAAAAGAACAGTTGATGTTTTGGAAGACTTTCAGTTACTTAATGTTCATAATACGATCAAACCGCCAAGTATGGTTTTGATAACTCTTAATAGATTGTTTCTTCCCCTTTTCCCTTTAGGTTCAATCCAATTTAAAGTCAATACATCTTGGAATTTATATTTATTTTAATTTGCTTTTAAACCTATCTAAACGTTTCCTTTTTTCCCACCAGAGTTTCTGTGGGCCATGCCTTTTTAGTGCAATAAGACCCATTTTTGTTTTTACACTAGAAATCCTGCTAAGTTAAACACTGGCTTTTTAACATGCTACCCCTTACAAGGTTTTCCACTGCAACAAAACAATAGCCCACAAACTATTTGACAAGCTCTCAAGAACATATTTTTATAGCCTTGTCACTTCTTTATTTTCCCACATTTAAAAAGAATATATATGTATATATGTGTATACCTATGTACATGTATATACATACATACATATATATGAGCCTGACCTGACTTTGGCCTGGTTCACATAGCTGATGCGTTTGCAGTTTTGTTTTTAAAAATACTTGAATATCTACATTTTGCTCAAATATGGCAGCATTTATTTAAATTTCATTGCTGACATAAAGATTCAGGAAATAGGGCTTTCTCTTTTAAGTAAGTTATGGTTTCTCTCAAATCTTCAGCTATGCAGTCTCACAGAAAATAACTAGGTTAGTCGTGTGCAATAGTACGGAAATTGGAATGTAATCCTTTTCTAAGGTGTGTGCCATGCTGTTCTAAGCATATAGAAAACATGTTTAACCAAGGCAAACACGACTGCTGACAACCTGCCCCATCAGCTTCCAAAGAAGGGTTAAAACGCGATAAATATTTTTCCGATTTTCCAAGTTCTACACTGGCGTGCAGCCAGCTAGTGTGAATGGACAGATCCTTAATTACTTTGAACTTTTTAGGTCTTTGCGTTCCTCCCTGCTGAGTCGTCCTGTACCATTAAAGAAGATGGGAGAAAACAGAAAACAAATGTCAGGTTTCAGAAATCAATTAGTGGCCTGGCAGCAGTGTGTGAACTGAAGTGTGCCAAAACAGGGGATTCAGAGGGAAAGGAAGAAAAATGTGGAGTAGTCAAGCGAGCTAGGAGGGGAAGGATGGGGCCGCGTGAATGCTTAGCTCCTTAGTCACTGGGCAGCGAGGATTGAGTCTTAGAATAAACCCCAAGTGTCACTATCTTTACGGGAATAAATACGCCTGAATGTGTGGGGGCTGAGCCGGCATCCAGCTACGGGGGCGGGGGCGTGCAAGAGGCAGAGGAGGAAAGAGATAAAAACAGCTTCCGAGTGAGCCGAGGAGAAGCCAGGAGCGATCTGCAGGACAGTGCCACAGTGTTCATGAGAACACACGACGACAACAACGACAGAAACATTGCTAGTCAGTTGTTCATTAATCACAGGGAGTCCCCCAAATCTCACTGTGACCGGGAGAATATCCACAGGATATTCCATTTCCGTACAGGCGGTGTTGAATTACCAAGTGATACCAGACCACAGAAAAGGCACAAGAAAGAGCAAAACTAACTCCTGAGAAGTGAGCGCCCAGGGCCCTAGTGTAAGACTATTTAATTAAAAGTGACTTTTATATGCACTGTGTATCCCTGGTAGAATCTGGATCAATGGGAACACAGAAGATATTTTATCCTCTAGAACACTTCATATCTTTAATCTTTTTAGTTTTTCATTACTACATTTAAAAAAGTTACCGAGACAGTAATACAGTCAGTAGAAGTTCCCACTGAGATTAGACAAAATGTGAATCATTATGATTCAAGAGCTTTAAAGACAAAGAGACTAGGCGCTCTTTTGTTTCTTTCATGATGACAGATGTGTAATTAAAATATTTTAAAGGTTTCATTTTTGTGTAATTTAAAAAGACATATTCCCAAGAAAACAATTTAATATCTTGATTGTGCACTGTCTCCTCTCTCTTGTTTATAAGAAATACATATATTTTTACGTTTTGGATTTCAATGCATTCTCCATGACATTTCTCAAGGCTCTTGGTGTGCACGGACAGAGTGCAATTTATTCACCCTCGTTTTAAAACACTAGTACATTTTGGGGGAAAAAAATTAGAGGTTTACCTTTTGGAGGGACTGAGAGTGATTTTCCACCTTGTTGGTATGCTAAGCAGACAAAAATGACAAACGGTAATGCCCTAGACAGAGTTATAGGCCAGGCCTATGGCGGCTTCAACTGGACGGTATTTGAATTCTGACTCAAAATATGATAGAGAAGGTGGAGAGACAGTTTCTGGCCTGGAGCACTTCCAGCCAACAATCTTTTAGAACATCAGGGTTGCTACCTCATCAGCATCACAATGAGCCAATTGCTGGCGATGCTATGACAAAATCAGTCCCGGCACCAGGCTGTGGGGTGCAGGCAGGAACGCTCCAGGTCCCTGCATGGGTCACAGGGACCATCCCTGTGGACACTGATTCGGCGATGAGAGGTGTAAAAATGGTGCTGGACGAGTGCCACAACTCCATGTGCGGCTGCGGTCATGGACGCATGGACAGCGTTGTGGGAGGACAGCTGGTCAACAAGTAGGGAGAGGCAAAGCCTATGCATGACCCGAAGAAGATAGGTGAGGCCTGGTGGTGCGCTGCTGTGATCCCAGCCCCCAGAGGCAGAGCCAGGAGAATAGGTACAAATTCAAGAGCAACCTGAGCTCATCCAGGGTGACATAGCATTGCTCATCCAAGGTGACATAGCATTGCAAAAACCCATCTAAAACGAAGCTAGATGATGCTCCATCTAGAAAATATATACTATAAGCCTACATTTAGGTACAGTGTTGGAAATAACTTAAGTATCCAACAATAGTACAGTAACACACATGTATCATATATATAGCATATATATGATATATTTATACATTTGCACATATATATGTATATATAAAATCAGGGTTTGGTGGGCATGCCACTAATCACGCCATTTGGTAGGTTGAGGCAGGAGATTTGGAGTCCAAGGATGGCCTGGGCTACACAGTAAGGTTCTTGTCTCCACAAAGAATGGTGTGGTGGAGAGGTGACTTAAAGAGTATATACCGCTCTTGCAGAAGACTGGGGTTGGGTTCTCAGGGCCCGTATCAGGTGTCACACCACCACCTGTAACACCGCCTCCCCTCTGGGGAATTAAATGCCTCTGATTTCCACAGATGTGTGTGCCTGCGAGTATGCGCACACACACTACACACACACACACACACACACACAAACACACACACACGTATACACACACACAGGTGCACATAATTTAAAATAATAATAAAAATATTTTTTAGGAAAAGGAAAGAAGGAAGGGGGAAATCATGACTGAAGAAATAAAAGAGGTTTAGAGGAGAAGGAAATGAAAAACAGGTTTTATAAACACGTGCCCACCGAGGTAAAATAAATAAATAAATAAATAAAAGCACAAAGTAGTGGATTTTGAAAGCAGGCAAACAGCACATATCTACAAAGCTCCACTACTTGAGAGACTGAAGCAGGAGAGTCCTGAGCACAAGGCATCTGGATTACAGAGTGAGTCCCAACCACCTCTGTCTACTCAGGTAGACTCCGTTCATTTCGTTTGTTTGTTTTGTTTTTGTTTCTCAAAACAAGATTTCTCTCTACATAGCCCTGGCTGTTGTGGAACTTACTCTGTAGACCAGGCTGGCCTAGAGCTCAGAGATTTCCCTGCCTCTGCCTTCCCAGTGCTGGGATTAAAGGTGTGTGCCACCACCAAATGTCTATCGTAAACAAAATGTCACTTGTAAACAGAGTAAAACATTTTGTAAGAATGTATTCTCTTTTTGTAGTCAAGGATTGGTTGATTAATTGTAAATATATACAGTTCCTTTATTTGTGTCTTACACAGCCAGCGGGATCTCCTCCCTGCATAATAATTTTTCACTCAGGCTGATTTTGTATGTCTCATTTTATTTTGTCACTTTGTTGCAATCATTTAAAACATTGTTTTGAAGCTGGTCTTGGTGGTGCTTTCAGTCAGAGGCAGGCAGATCTCTGAGTTCAAGGCCAGCCTGGTGTACATATAGTTCCAGGACTCCAGGACTGCACAAAGAAACCCTATTTTGAAAAACAAAACAAACAAACAAACAAACAAAACACACAACACACTGTTTTGAAAAGAGGCAAAAGGGTAAATATCAGAAATCTCTGCACTGGGGAGGTGGAAGCAGGCAGGAGTTCAAAGTTATTCTTCGTTCTGTGGTCATTTTGAGACCTATATTTGAGACCTATCAATAAGGTCCTATACGAGAGCCTACATCCCCCAATGGCACCTAGAGCTAAGTAGAGTGGCCCTAATCCTTAAAGAGACACTGTGTGGAATCCTGAATCACATTTTTATTGGTAGATGCTCACCGTCATCTAATACCCCTTCTCCCAGTCCCTAAAATTATTTTAATTTTGAAAATTCAATTGGAGGTGATAGTGATGACGGCTGCCTTGTAGAAACTGTGTGCTGACAAGCGCCTTCTGCTTCCACAGCACGTGACATAGAATTATTTTATGAGGAGCAGCCCTCCACCATCGTGGCCTCCGTGGACACACAAATGCCACATCTGCCACCGACAGACACGCCCAACCTCCCAGCTGCTTTCTTTATAAAATACCTGGCTCTGGAACTGCCGTTGCAGTTCTCAAATTTTATTCACACAAAATATCACAAAGTCAATGAGTTGGAATTCTCATCTCATGAATAATGCAATCCTAACTCCGCGTCACCAATCGTGTGGTTTATTCTTCTTTCGGTATTGTTTTTGGTAAGACGTCTCAAATACCGTGTGGGCAAGGGCACCTCAGAAGGTACAGTGATCTCACTCTTGCTCCTCCCCACTGTTACAACCCCTCTACCCAGACTCCAGCTTTTCCATTCACTTGGACTCTCTTCTAGAGAAACTCCTGGAAGCGGACAGAACCCATGAACCCACCTTCAGCAGGGTGGTGGCTGCTGTCAAGAGTGAACTTCATGCCCCATTCTTTTTCTGCCCCCACTTTGCCACAAGTTTTGTCACGGGTGCCAAGGTGGCAGCACGGGAAGAAAAGACCAGTTCGGGTCTTTTATTAAAACAACAGTAACGGACTAATACGCTATACGGAACATAGAAGACATGAGTTACAGTCACCGTGTTGCGGCCCTCATAGTGTTAATAGATTTGAGCAACAGAGGATAGGTGACTAAGTGACATTATGAGGCAGAACAAGCTCTCCTACAGAATCCCATTGTATTTCCATAAAGATTAGAGTTTTAAGTATAAGGGAAGATGACATTTTAACAACAAAAATCCTGATAGAGACTACCTTACATCAGCCGTATCATCAATAGAAAGAACAGGCCATGGCCATCTTGGTGAGAATTGACAACGGTATGGCATTGAATACATTTTATTTACCAAAAATTCATACTCTGGGGCTGGAGGGAAGGCTCAACAGTTAAAAGTGCTGGTTGCTCTTCCAGAGGACCTGGGTTCAGTTCCCAGCACTCACCTGGCAGTTCACAACTGTCTGTCACTCTGATTCCCAGGGATCTGGTGTCCACACATAAGCACACATACAGACAAACCACCAAAGCACATAAAAATAAATAAATCTTTAAAAAAATCACAAGCTGGATTTGATCAGGAAGCCCAAGCAGACAGCTCAAACTACAAATGGACTGACTGACGTCATTAAGAACGTTAACACGAGGGCTGAGGGGACAGTGTGGTTGATAAAGTCACATAAGCACGAGGACCTGAGTCAGATCCCTAGAATCTCTGGACAAGCCTGGCATGTTTGGGCCTCAAGACATGCCTTTCTTGGGGAAGTCCTTGCTGCCAGGTGTCAGGACTGGAGTTCAGCTCCTCCAGGACAAAGCAAAACCTGCAGAGGGGGGCGGTCACCTGTAATTCCAGATTCCAAAGGTGGACAGGATTTTCAGGATGAGCACACCAGTCAGGTGACGAAACACGAGGTGCAGGTTCAGCTAGCGACCTTCCCCCAGTATGCCAGGGCGAGAGTGGCGCCCACCGTTTGCTTTTGCACACCCGTCCACGTTCTCCCGCACACATCAGAATACACACGCGGACAGAGCGTCAAAGCAAAAGGCTAGGCTGAGGCCACGAGCCAGCCTTGCTGAACCAGTGAGCCCTCTATTCACTGAGAGGTTCTGCTTCCAAAAGTAAGGTAAGACGATGGCTAGAGAAACACCTGACACATGCATGCACATTCAAGTGCACTGCATTCTCACATGAACATGAACAAAGCCACTGACATGTAAATGTGGTAAAGGTTAGAGCATATCTCTGGAATATTCATTTTTTAAAGGAATGTTCAGCCATGTGGTGGCTCACACCTTAAATCCCATCACTTGGGAGGCAGAGTTCGAGGCCATTCTGGTCTGCAAGAGCTAGTTCCAGGACAGGCTCCAAAGCTACAGAGAAACCCTGTCTCGAAAAACCAAAAAAGGGGGTGGGGAAGGAATGTTCAGTTCTGAGTTTAATTTAGATGGAAAGGGGCCAAACATTATTACTGAGGTAGTAATAAAAATTTAAGTATAATGTATAATGCTTCAATCCTATATGTTTGGACTTGCTAATGCAACTGCATATGTAAAAAAATATTCTTTTATTTCAAGGATATGACACTTAAATATTTACAGGAGAAGAGTACGGGATCTGCAACTAACTTGCAAATTAAGTAGGAGTGTGTGTGTGTGTGTGTGTGTGTGTGTGTGTGTTAGTTAATTACATGGACCGGGACAAGGAAGTAGAATCAGTTCAGCAATTGGTATTAACTGGTGAATGTGGGAGACAGGTACATGAGAGAATTTTAACAGTATTCTTGATTTTTTTTTCCATAGGCTTGAAATAATTTTGAATCAAAAAGAAAAGAACAAAAAGGTCTAAAAGTAAGGAAGACAGATTTATTTCAAACATCAGCTTCTACTGTCTAGGATTAGACATCCCAGATTCGTATCTGTCACAGTTGAGCTGACGGGAAGCATCAGCAACCCAGGAAGACGGCTGAATGAATCTCAGCTAAAAGGCTTCATTTTCCTCAAGCAGTCCAGGCCTTTCATTTCTCTACTGTGCAGGGCAGCACGGTAATGAATTCACGTTTGCTATACTAACATCTCCCAGCTCTGTCTCTGCCATGCACGTCTAAATAAACACCATGTGTATACATGTGTCCATGTACATCCATGCACACGCGCACGCGTGCGTGCGCGGGGACACACACACACACAGCTAAATCAAATGTCAGAAAGGACATTGTGGCAGTCTTGTCTTTTTAAAGTAGTTGGAAATACTTGAGGCAGGCTCCCACACAGCCTGAGCTGGCTCGAAGTACACTACTTGTAGTCTAGATTGTGTTTGAACTCGCCAAGCTGATGTACTTCTGCCTCACGAGGACTGGGATTATAGACTGCACTATCACCAGACTTAATGTAGTTTTCATTATATGTAACACTTTAATTTTGCCAAACAAACAGAGAGTAATCCTGGGGCCCCGCCACGGTAGAGCCAGCCTTCTGTTACAACCCAACATGGCGGTTATGTTGTTGAAACCAAAGCCAGGATTATGAAGCAAGGCACACCCCAAGTCACAAGCTGGCCTTAACATCTTGAAAAAGCTAAAAATCATTCTCATGTCACTAGACAATTTTCAGAAAATCCGACTTATTCCATTTTGTAAAAGACAGAGTTTCATACTTTGTACAGCTGGTAGACTCCTGCCTCAGCTTCCAGATTACTGAAATTTCAAGCATGAGTCACCAGGCCTTCCCAAAACAGCTAGATCATTATAACCCTGACGAAAGCATTACTGTTGACGTTTAGAACCCCAGACACAATGAGTTGGGGGTTAATGACAACTGTCAACAAAAGACTGGTACTCAGAGATGACGGAAGAATCGCGATGAATCTGTGATATTGTGTATGCATTGAGAGAAGGTGGGTAAGCTATTTCCCTGGGAAATAAGTGGTTTTCAAAAGTACAGCAAGGCTCCTCCAGAAAAAAGTATCTGGTCTCAGTGAAGGTAAAACACCACACACACACACACACAGAGACACACACTCAGAATACAAAGTAACTGTCATGGGGTCATGGGGCAAACTACTCATGATGAAGGCAGAATGGACTTTGATGCTTATGTTGGCCTTGAAGAGAACACGAAACTCTGTAAACTGAAACAGAACACAGGACAGTTGAAGGGAACCGACTCAGGAAACCGACGGGGGCTTAGAGGAAAACACAAACTGAAAAGTGCTGAGTGCAGCCATCCACTCCTGACTTGTACATGCTGTGTAAAGAACTGATGCATTAAAGTCAACCTCAGGGATCTTTTGAACTCACAAGAGGGAAGCAGTCAGATGACTCATCCGGTAAAAGTGCTTGCCAAGGAAGCCTAGAGCCTCACATTTGATTCCTGGGATAGAAATGACTCCCAGAAGTCATTTCGATGATACACACACACACACACACACACACACACACACACACAAATACACACAAATCTTAAAATAATCTGTCGGAATATGGTGGTACAGGCTTTTAAATCCAGCACCCTGGAGGCAGAGGCAAGACCTTTGTGAGCTCCAGACCATCCGTGCTACGTAGTGAGACCCTGTCTAGAAAAAGGAGGATAAGGTCAATAAGACACCTGACTAATATATATGACATCTTAGGCTTCGTAACAGCACAAAAAGAAGAAGAAAAGGGGAAGCCTAGTAAAAATGTCCAATTATTATGTGTTCATTTAAAATATAACAAAAATTGCCATCTTAAAAAGTGGGGAAAGAGGGGAGGGAGAAGAGGTAAGGGGAAGGCAGTGTGCTTAGCGAGGCACTTACGAACAAAGACAGGCAAGTGGTCAATTAACATGAGACTCTTCCGTGATACTAGGGAAATGCAAAGTAAAAAAGCTAGGATTTTGAGCCCAAACACCTAAGAGAAAGAGATCACAGACAGAAGTGATTTGGTTTGGCTCATGGTTTAGAGGTTTCTAAGCCAGGCACAGTCTTGAATTGCCAGCCCTCTGGGGGCAGAGGCAAGAGGAACGCCCTCACCTCAGATTCAGATCAGCCAGGGCTACAAAGAAAGACCTTATCTCAACACCCTCTTCTCTGACCCGAAAAGAGGGTTCAATCCATGCCTCACCCAGTGTTTCTGGGCCTATGGTGAGGCAGAACATACAGCATGTAGTAGGGATGTCCACTCCAGTTAGGGCAGCAGGAAGCAGAAAGAGAGAGAAAGAGGCTGGAGTCTCAATATACCCAAGGGTAGACCCCATGACCTACTTTTCTGTGTGCCACTACCCCAAGTTCTAGTCACTGTCTAAAGGGCTTTGGGGGCCAGGGACCAAGCCTTCCACGCAGAAGCTTTGTTGGGGCCTTAAAACCCAAACTACAATGGAGGAACTTAGGAGCACACCCAGTCTTAGACTCATTGCTATACAGATTTGTATTGGTATAAATCTTGGTTTATTGATACAAATTTAAGGTCTATCTTGTTGTATGTATATTTCTGCTCTTAATTAAGGAATTGTGATTGTGTAGTTCATTTAAAAGATGAAATATATAATTAAGAAATATAGGTTCATAGATACTCATCTATAATAGTCAAGCTTGTAGTCATACTAGTTAGATCTTCTGGATATATAGAGATATAATTCAGTTAGATAGGTATTCTTCAAATCCTTCAGGGACCTTAAGAATATGGCATTTATGGGGCTAGAGAGATGGCTCAGTGGTTCAGAGCATTGCCTACTTTTTTAAAGGCCCTGAGTTCAATTCCCAGCAACCACATGGTGACTCACAACCCTCTGTTATGAGGTCTGGTGGCCCTCTTCTGGCCTGCAGTCATACACACAGACAGAATATTGTGTACATAATAAATAAATAAAAACTTAAGACTTTTCATGACAATGAGCACCAACTACTTCAAGAGGAAGATGGGTATCAAAGAGGCTCATCATGGAGTTTGTTAGCCATTTGGGAAAAAAAAAACAAACTGCTCTTTCCTGGACTGCTTGATGAACTGGACATGCAGGACCCACAGAAAAATGACTGCTGAACCTGTCTAAAGGTGAGACAATTCTTCAGGGTTCCTGCTTCATGAAAGAGTCTGTAAGACATTCTGCAGGACACAGAAGTAATTGACAAACTACCAATACAGGCTGAACTGTCTTTGAAATTTCCTGCTTCATGAAAAAATCTGCTGGATACTATGGGCCTGTAGGCTGAAGATGGGTGCCCCAACGGTACAGAGGAACTTTGGGTGACTGTCCAGGCAGCGAAATGTCTCTGTCAGTTCTAGAGTTTTAGAAGTTGCTTACAATGTACTTCCTGTTTACTTAGGTAATATTATATCCTTCTGGAGTCTTTGATGGAGTTGAAGAATAAACAATTATAGTTACAGTTTTCCTTAATTATGATAAAAGATAAAATAGATATAAATATTGTAACTAATTCTTATTTGATACCTGTTTTGTTATATGTTATTTTACTATGTTAAAGTTAAAGACTTCCTTTTTGTTTAAACAGAAAAGGGGAAATGGTGTGGGAGGTCCTTCTGTCTATGTGTTAATTTTATTGCTTAATGAATAAAGAAAACTGGCTTGGCCTATAGCATGGGAGGAGGATGGCAGAGGCAGAGAGAAGCCATGGATCTGCCACCTGAGACAGGTGCTAGGAACTTTAGCTGGTCAGCCACAGCCATGTGGAGATATACAGAATAATAGAGATGGGTTAGTTTAGTATATGAGTTTAGCCAGAAATAGGCTTAAGCTATTGGCCAAATAGTACTGCAAATAATATGGTTTTCTGAGTGGTTATTTCATGGCTGGGCAGCCGGGATGAACAAGCGACCCTTCCCCCAACAATAACTATTTTCCTCTGACAAAGCACTTTATAAGTCATTGTTGAACAATGTTAGCTTGAATTAGAAAACAGCCATACACCTAAAAACAAAGCTACCTGAGCCCATAGATTCAACGTGTCCCCTAAAAGGTTCATCTAACCTACAAAGGTAAAAATCAGTTCAGTCAAGTAATAAGGAGAACACCACAAAAGAAAACATTAATATCATATAGCTCCTGAAAAAAATGAAGTATCACTTCTGTGATCTAACCAAAATGTATCATCTCAGGGCTGGTGCGGGGCCTCAGTTGGTAGAGATACTTGCTACCAAGCCGCATGGCTTGAGTTCAATCTCAAGGCCCAATTCTTGGGAAGAAAGAATCAACCCCCCCCCAAAGTTGTTCTCTGATGTTCACATGGGTATATGACCATGAGTGTGCATACACACACACCCGCACAAATAAATATAAAATATTTATGTATAATCTTAGGACAGAGGGGTGGTTCAGTGATTAGAACAGAACACAGCTCCTGCGAAGGACTCTATCTGGGTTCCTAGCACTCCCATCAGGTGGCTCCCAACCACCAGCAACTCCTGATCCAGGAGAACTGACCCCCTCCCTCTCTGTACTCCAAAGGCAGCTGTTCATTTGCTCACTCGTACTCCCGGTCATATAAAACAAGCATATACATCACTATGATGTCTTTTTTTTTCATTTCATTGATTTTTTTTTTTTTTTTTTTGGTTTTTCAAGACAGGGTTTCTCTGTGGCTTTGGAGCCTGTCCTGGAACTAGCCCTTGTAGACCAGGCTGGCCTCAAACTCCACCCCCTGGCGTAAGAATGAATCTTAATAAACAACCTCAGTCAAATTGTGAGGAAAAAAGGAAATCTACACACCAATGGAGGTATACGTCTTTTATTCTCGTTCTTTTTTATGTGTATGAGTGTTTTGTTGACATGTGCACCACGCTCACGCCGGGTACCCTGGGAGGTCAAAAGGACACTTTGGATCCCCTGGAACTGGAGTTGCAGTCAGTTGTGAGCCTCCATGTAGGTGGTAGGAATTGAACCTGGATCATCTAGAGGAGCAGCCAGTGCTCCTAAGCCCTGATCCCTTTCTGCAGCCCCTATTGGAGGTATATTTCTATAATATCTTATAACTCTTCACAGATTCTCAAATGCCAAGTTAAAAATGGCAAAAGTAAGCCTGTTGAGGGGTGGTGCACGCCTTTAATCCCAGCACTCAGAGACAGAGGCAGGTGGATCTCTGTGAGTATAGAGCCAGGTCTACAGAGTGAGTTCCAAGACAGCTAGGGCTATA